ATAGTTTTGAAGTCACAAAAATTTCCACAAAAATGGAATTACAACTCATAAAAGAGAAAACTTAAAAAAATCATTTTATTTATCGAACATATATTTATTTACTTTTATACACTTTATCTATCGAACATACTTTTGTATTTTTAGTTTTTTAAAAATATAAAGCCCTCTTACACACCCTGTAATTATATCTATAAAATATGAAAAATAAATATATATTTGAATATTATATACATTTTTTTAACGTTAAATATTTTAAACTTCGATTTGATGAATACTTTATGAAACTAAATTTAACTACTCCTTTTTATTATAAAATAATTTTTTGTATAATGTATGTATGTATGTATGTATGTATGTATGTATGTATGTATGTATGTATGTATGTATGTATGTATGTATGTATGTATGTATGTATGTATGTATGTATGTATGTATGTATGTATGTATGTATGTATGTATGTATGTATGTATGTATGTATGTATGTATGTATGAATGTATGTATGTATGTATGTATGTATGTATGTATGTATGTATGTATGTATGTATGTATGTATGTATGTATGTATGTATGTATGTATGTATGTATGTATGTATGTATGTATGTATGTATGTATGTATGTATGCATGCATTAATGTATGTAGGCATCTATATGTTGTTGGTACATAAATATGACTGTATGTATATATGTATTCATCTATATGTTTTGGGTACGTGGATATATAACTGCATATGTGAGTACTTTTGTATGTCTGCATGTATGTTTGTATGTTTCCAACCAACCTGTTTCTATATGTGTGTACATATGTATGTCTGTATGTGTGTGTATATTTACAACCAACTGGTTTTCCAGAAGACCATATACAACCAACCCACACAACCGTACGCAAGAACAGACGAAAAAGAACTCTCTATTGTAAATATATACTATTCTAAATATATTACATTAATCACATGAAGAATTTTCTTAAATGAAGAATGAAATAAACACTATAATAGCCAAGTACTGCATCTAATTGAAGAAGATTATTTTTGATAAATAAAGTTGATTTGGTAGAACAGTCATATTAAAAATGTTTTTATGAATAAGATCATTAAAAAAAAGCATTTTAGTACCAAAAAACTACTTGGCTATTGCTTCCAATTTTGAAAAATTCAGCCATTTTACACACGGCTTTTAACTTAATAATGATAATTGGCAAGTAATTTTAAAATGTTACAATAGAGGGACAATATTGACGTGAACAAAGTCTTGGCTCATTCAGCAGTTCTCTGTGACAAGTCCTCTACTTTGAGTTTCCGCAATCTTAATCTTATTTTTTAACTTCATAACGCTTTTATTTTTACTTTTTACTTGTAATGTCTTTTATATATAATTGTATTTTAAATATTGTAAAAAAAAAAAAAAAATTAAAAAATATAACAAATATATATATATATATATATATATATATATATATATATATATATATATATATATATATATATATATATATATATACATAAACAATTTTAAAATGTATTCTACAAAAAAGAGTGCTTAATGTTCTTAAAACTGTGAAATAATAAAATAGTAGAAAATTACTTAACAAAATTTTTTTCATTTAACACTGTGTTTCACCAATAAAGACTCATCAGAAATCTATTTTTATATAAGAATATATATACATATATATATATATATATATATATATATATATATATATATATATATATATATATATATATATATATATATATAATATATATATATATATATATATATATATAAATTTGTATATAAAAATGCATACATATATATTTATATGTATTTTTATATAAGAATTTTCTCTTAGAACGCATCTTTTTTTATAAACATAAGCATTTTTGTTTCCCTCGTATTATTATATAAATAAATTAAGTTTATTTTTTAAAATTGAATATTTTTAATCCCAAAAAAGTTGTATTAAAAACTCTTTAAAACCCAAATGTATAGATTGTGGGAAAATGTATAGATTGTGGGAAAATGTGGGCTGCAAATGTGGGTTGTAAAGATCACGTAAAACATATTTTGCAGATATAAAAAAATTACAGGGCTGCGTTTTAGAATTTATTATTTCTTAGTAAAAACTAAATCTGCTTGAGAAGAATTTACTTTGACTTGGTTTCTTGTTTATTTTGTTCGTTTTATGATGCCAAATAATTTTTTGTCCGAATTTCAATTCCACAAATATTTTCGTTTCTAAGAAATTCTATTTTTTCTGTGCAAGGTTTGTCCGAATATCTTATAATGATTTTTTAGAACACTAACTTTACGCTATTTGCGACAGTTATATAAAAATATAAATTAAACAAAATAACACAAAACTAAATATGAATAAAACTACCAGTTTCTTCTCGGCTGACTCTCTGGTTCAGAAAAAAATCAAGTTAAATGAAAAAGAAACATAAGAAATCAAAATTACAATGTCAGATATATCAGTTAGTAGACCAGACAACACATCAACTACAGCTGGTCATGTTGCAGGACAGCAACTTGACCAGCTGTAGCAATAGCAAAAAACAGAGTTTTCTTCCAAATACAAGTTGCTTTGTTTGTCCCAAAGCTTGCCTACACAACCTGCCAAAAAGTGAAGTCACTAGGTGTAGAAGCTAAAATGGGAATGAAAATATCTAAAGAATGATCCAATTATAAAGTTTCTTGATATGGTAAAGATAGAGAGCAACTGTTAGTTTGATGCCTAAGAAAATATTTGATCTCAAAAAATCTGGACATCAAGCCTGCAATAAAGATAATAGAAAAAAATAAAAAAAAATCTCTCAAAAAATATTATAAAGTCTTTAACCAGTGAGAAAATTGTAACAACAAATACTTTTAGAACTGCATATAAAGTTGCAAAACAATATTTACGGGTTCCTGAATCTAAAGGTCTTTTTCGAGTATTATTTTTGTCTTTATAAACGTCAGTTTTTTCCAAATTTAAGTTTGAAAATAAAATTGCTTTAGATTTGCTTAATTCACCTCAAACATGCCATATCTGTAAAACATCAATACGTTTTTTACTTTCTGGGATCATTTTGATGTCTGACTCTGTATAATCATCTAGTTGGTATAATGTACTTCTACTGGCATAAAGTACTTCACCAGTAGACTATTACAAGTATGTCAAAGTTTTGTATAATATATATATATATATGCATATATATATATATATATATATATATATATATATATATATATATATATATATATATATATATATATATATATATATATATATCAGACAGATATTCTATGATAGTCTGTCTGATTGCCCCTTAATATGTCAGTATCTATTGCTGTGTGTTGAAGCATAAAATGTTTAAAAAATTTAATTAGCAATACGCCATGTTTGCATACTTTATCAAATCACGCAAAAAAGCACGTTGTTTACCAAACATGTTTCAAAATGTTCTAAAAATGCGGAAGCATCTTTTAGAATCAAAAAAAGAAGTTATATTACTTATTCCATGTAAACACTGGCGTATATAGTTTTGATAACAACAGAAACAAAATTTTTAGAGAGGAAAAGATTTATAAACTTGATTATCAGTAGTGTCGCAAACAAAGCCTTTAATCTGTAACAAAAAAAAAAAAAACTTATAAGGTTTTTAGTCCGTAGAACCACCAAAAAAGGACATTAGTGTAATGTAAATAGAGATTGTAGTACCTTAACTATCAAAAGACTAGTATTAAACTTCTACAAACTAAACTGCAATATAGATTTAGACGCTTCATAATCACTAAGAGAAAAAACTTCATAATAACTTTAAAAAAAAAAGGAAATACTTCGTTGCAGATAATAGTGGATAATTGATAAAAGAGAATCTGTAAAAATGTTCTGTAAATTAAGTAGACCGTTGACTCGGTAATGTGTATTCAGGTTTTATATTTAAAAAATATTATCAGGTTAATATTTTTAACTAGATATGAAAATAATTTTTTTTTTTTTTTTATTCCATAAAAGTATTATTGCAAGTTTAAAAATAAATATACTATATATATAAAATATAATATATAAAGTATAATATACTATAAATATAAAGTATAATATACTATAAAGTATAAATATACTATAAATATATATATATATATAAAAAAACTGACATAAAGGAGTATTTTTTTGTTTTTTTGAACTTGACTCATAGATACGCATTTTAAAATTTCAAGAATCATTTTTACATTTTACTTACATTTTACAACTTTTTAGATTTTTACATGACTTAACTCATACATACTGATATAAAATTTCAAGGTTAATAATATATTCATAGTATATAATATATATATATATATATATATATATATATATATATATATATATATATATATATATATATATATATATATATATATATATATATATATATATATATATATATAATTTTAAATATAGTATACTAATAAAAATAATATGTTTAATACATTAAGAAACTATATTGAAGGTTATTTAGATAAGGTCATATTTATTACAAAAAGTTGAATATGCAGTTGTGGGGAATAAATAAAAGTCTACAAAACATAGTTTCCTTTTGTATATTATGCAGAAGATTTTTCATTTTGTCATGTCATGTGTCTTACATATATTTGACACTGTTTATTATGAATATCTTGCAGGTAAAGAGTTATAATTTGAATAATAAACATTTTTAAAACGATTATTAGTGTTTACTTCAAAAAGTATTTCGAGCTTAAAATAAATCAGCGCTGCAAATGAGACAGTGTATAACTTACTCTACTTCAGGACATACATTGCTTGGTTAGGTGTAAATGTTGTAATCTATCAATTTTTTCATTTGTTTTGTAAATAAAACCACTGAGCTTTACGAATCGATTGTTCAAGTGAATAAATACTCAATAGTAATCTCGGTATTTTCTTATGAGAAGTTTGTGGTGGCAAATTTATCAAAACTGTTGAACTCTCTTACACATTACAGAATAAAAGTTTATAAAAAAGTAACATTTACAGAAACATTACACAAATGAATCTCAAAAACATTTTGTTAATTTTGGGTGTGGTTGGTTTTGCTATGTGCATGCCAATTGCTGAAGAAGGATCAGCTGAAGAAGACGATACCGGTGACTCAGAGGGGAAAACAACTACTACTGATAAAGGAACTACGGTTGCAGCAGCAGCACCAGCGGCAGCACCAGCAACAGCACCAGTAACAGCACCAGCGGCAGCTCCAGCGGCACCAGTGGCACCAGCAACTGTACCAGCAGCTGCACCAGCAGCTTCAAAACCAGCCGCTGTAAAACCAGCAGCCGTAGCAAATAAAGGTGCTAAAGAGGTCAAATCTAAATCTACAGGATCAGAATCAAAATCTGTTGCAGCTATTCCTAAACCAAACGAAGTTGCAGGTGAACAAGCAGTTGCCGAAGGAAGTGATGCCCCAGTTGCTCCTGCAGTAGGTACTGAAGTATCTAAAGAGGACAAAAAAGTACACGCTAGATGTCATCATCATTGTCATTGCCATTGCGAACACGAACATTGCGGACACCACTGTTGCCATGATCATGAAGATCATCACGATGAACATGGCCATTGTCACCACCATCATTGCGATCATGATGATGGATGTCACCACCACCATCATCATTGCGATTGTCACCACGATTGCCACGGTTGTCATCATGAGCATTGCCACGAACACCACGGTCCATGCGGACATCACTGTTGCCACTGCTGCCACGAACACCACCATAAATAATAAACTTTTACCTGTCTATCTTTTGGCATATAAGATTAAGGTTGACCAGTGATCAATAGGTTTCTATGATAAACTTATAACTTATATATAGTATTAGATTTGTATTAAAATCATGAGACTGGTTGGAAAATAAGTTGTAAAATTTATATGTAGATTATTTATTAATCAGTATAAATTATTGACTAATTGGTATGAAATCCTCTAATTTTTATTAATTACAGAACCAAATTTAAGTTTTAATTATTAAATCCAAAGCACGGTTTTTTTTTATCCAAAGGTTTTTAAACATTTGTCTTAAGGATAAATATAAAAAAGTTATTCTGGTTTATATTCATTTAAAAACTTTTTGTTTGCTCTCATTGTTATCAGAGAGATGAAATATATTTAATATTTTTTAATTTTTTCGAATATATAAGTGACGGATCGAGGGGCATGGGTATGCGCCATCCCCCCCCCTCCCTATCCACCAGAATCTGAAAGTCCTAAAACATCTAAGAATTTGAGGACCTTTTATTTTTTAGGAGACGCAAATGTGGTACACGATATAAAAACATTTCAACCTGCAGAGACGTACATCCAACATCCCCCCTCCTTAACCACCAAAGATATATATATATATATATATATATATATATATATATATATATATATATATATATATATATATATATATATATATATATATATATATATATATATATATATATATATATATATATATATATATATATATATATATATATATAGGTCAACCGGATAAATTTCTGAACAACTTTAGTCCCCCTCAAGACTAAAGTTGTTCAGAAATTGTACTTCAAAAAAGTGTTCAAGGTGTTTGAGGGGAATGAAAAAATTATTTCCTTTTTTTTTTTTGTTATTTTTTATTTATAATTTCATTTTAAAAAGGTATGTCATGATGTTTTTTACATATTCTCAGTTAAAACTAGGGATGTACCGAAGCTAAGATTTTGCGAAATCACTCTGCCGAAGCCAAAGTTTCGGCCAAAGCCGAAGCTTTTGTACTTACCTAGATAAATTTGCTATCTTGCAGATCTAGCTATCTAGTGATAATACCATTTACTGAAAAACAATTTATAACATTTTACTATAGCTGTTATATGTACTGCATATTGTAAAATATATGTACTGCAATTAAAAGTGTTTTAGCGCACAAGGTACTTTACTATAACAAATTATCAAGGTTTTTTTTAATTACGCAATGTCCTAGGATTTTAGGATGTAGCAATGCCTTGCTTGAACAAGTTTAATGTTACTTGAAAATAAAGATGACTAGCTAACTAGTTATTACTAATTACAAATTAGAAGTTGAACTAGGGTGTGAATTATAAAACTAATTTGGCTTCTCGTCTACTTAATCAAGTCTAAACTTTAAAGTTATATTATAAACAATGTTTAGTTTACATTAGTTCGTACTTTGGATTATAATAAAATTACCATTTAGAAATTACAATAATAAACGAGGGAAGTTGTTTTTATTATACTTATTAGTTTATTACGTTTAAACTAATTATCCATTAGAAATCTTATTATGCTGAACAGAGGTTCACTCCTAACGGATGAAGGAGCCCAGCTAACACAAAAGGTTCTCAATGAAAATTTAGTGCGCTTTTCCCAGCTAGTACAAAACGTTCGACGAACGTTGTGAACGTTCAAATACGTTCTATGAACGTTCTTGAACGTTTGCAACGTTCAAGAAACAGCTAGCACAAAACGTTCTTTGAACGTTTTGTGCTAGCTGGGAGGTTTTGGTAATGTTGGTAGGCTAAAGCTGAAGTTGACTTCGTCCATGTTGAATCAAAACTATGAATCAATTTAAAGTTTAAACTAATGTTTTAAATTTATAGTTGATAAATAATTATGTTTTAAATGGAAAATTAAAAATATTAAATGCAAACAGACCCAACACTACAGGAAGACACGCCCTGCCGGCATATAGTTTGTGCCTGCTAGCAGTAATCTTTCCATTATAAAAATATAGTTTGTGCCTGCTAGCAGTAATCTTTCCATTATAAAAATATAATTTTGTCTGTAACTAAATCTGTAAATAAATTTCTTTTAACAGGGCTGAATGCAACATAATAATTAATTTGAAAATTAACATCAATTTTCTATTAAATTTGTAATAAATAAAAAAAATTACAACTTTTTTTAGATATCTTTTATTCGTACGATTTTCCTTTTAAATTTTGAGTTTTTTCCCTAGAATTTTTACTATTATACTTTTTTCCCCCTCCATCAGTGTTTTTACATTTCTGTGAAGCATTTTCGTTTATACCCATTTAGTCTAAGAAGCTGTACATGCCTATGCTTTCTTTTTTGATTCGACCACCATGAATCTTAAATTAAACAAAATTAACTTCTTTTGCTTGTTGTAAATGATCATTTACAACAAGCATGCAAAATTTATATCAAAGATACTACTGCTTTCATTTAGAGTATCGATACTCTAAATGAAAGCGGTAGTACCATTGATATAAAATTTCCTTAAACTTGTTATGATCTGTTTCTTTAAAAAATTTCATTTGAAACGGGGTTTGAGAGTCATTGCCATTTTCAGACGAACATTATTTTTGTATTAATGAAAATGACTTTTGAAATCAGTTTTAAGATCATTAACAACAGTTTTGATTCCTGTTGATTTGTCCCTAGCATAGTCAAGAAACTGTGTGATCTCTGATTTGTCTGTTCTTACCTTTCGTAGCGCTTTCAAAGTGTTTTAGTATGTATACAGTTATTGCAGCATGCTGCTATTGATTTTCTGCATGTTATCTGCTTCTGTAATTATAAAATCATTTATTATTCATGTTTTTGAGTGGAAAATAAGAAATAATTTTTTTAGCGTACGTTTCAAACGCAAAAAAACTAAATACAAGTTACAGTGAAAATACGTTTTAGTAAATATAACAGCGGAACACAATTAAACATAAAACTTAAATAAAATATAAAAAATTACCCATTAATTTTAATAAGCAGGCATGCATTTTAATTTTGATAAACAGGCATGACGTATGCCGCGGCATACGTGAGGAAATCAAAGTAAAGGAGCAAATTACAAGTAGTAGAATTTTAGTAATTATATTGTAAGCAATAAAATTATTTTATGTTTAATATAAAAGTAGCATATCACCTTTAATTACCTAAAAAAATTTGCCGAAGCCAACGCTTCGGCAAAAACTGACCTTCGGCAAAAGTGCCGAAGCTTCAGTACATCCCTAGTTAAAGCGATATTTAAGAAATCAAAAAATTAAAAGTTTAAGTTACGCAAGTGGTTATGAAATCAGCAAATTATGTATTATTATAAATTAGGTTTTTTTTGTATTATCACTGTTTTCCAGACCAAAACCCTTAAAAGTTGGCCTTACTTTGTTGACAGTTAAAAGTCTGTTCTGCTTGTCATTTTTGTATCTTTGTACAAACTACTGCGTCATTCCGATTGCTCGTTCAGAATGATCACTGACAACAATTAACATATTGGCAAAGTTTTCAAAGTTCTTAAACTAGGACTGGGTGTTTCAATATTGGGATGAAAGTGACAACCAGTCTCTCACTCTCTGACTATCCAATCCTACCATTGAAAAAATTAGATATGAAAACTCATTAATCAAACAGAGAGGATTGAAAGAGGGGAAAAAAACAGCCAAGGATACTGCAGAAGTTGCAAAATTAGGGTTTCGGTACCAATAAATTATAAAGATATAAAGATTATAAGTTATTTACCAATCAAGTTTGTAAAAATTGGAATTTGTTACCAAATGAAATCATTGAAGCAAGATCGTTGAATGTAAGTTGAAAGAGATAAGTTGTAAGTTGAAATCGTTGAAAGCAAGATCGTTGAATGCGCGAATAGATAAACATTTTTGATAACATGAGTTTTTTTTAAATTGTTTGGGCTGTCTATAACCCGATGCTTGCATCGCGTTCCACAATTTATTTATTTTTTAAATATTTATATTTAAACAAATTTGTAATTTTTACAGCAATAAATATTACTATTAATATTACTATAAATATATGAGAATACTCTTTTTTTCATCTTTTTTTTTATTTCAAGTTTATTTCAAATATATGTGAATTCCAAATGCAGTATTAAAAAGTTTTGAAAAAACAAAAATATTTTAAAATATAATAAACTAACAAGTTCATCTTTTATTTCTTGTGGAGTGCTCCTAGGGTCTATTCTTGGGCCTCTTCTTTTCCTTATATATGTGAATGATCACTGAAAAGCGTCAAATATATTTCAACATTTATTATTGCTGGCAACTATGGTTTCCAAAAAAACACATTTATTTAAAGCCGCAGTTTCAGTTTTAATTTTTTAAAAAATCCGGTTAACCGTGGTTTTCGTTTTTTCTTGTTGAATAATAAAACTTATGTAAGTATATCTTACATTATTAAAAAATTTATTTAAACAAAGTGTTTTAAAATTATGCTTATATTTCGAAATAAAACTTAAAATGACTTATTTTAAAATCATTTTAAGAAAACTAAAGATTTTAACAATTCATCAGATAATCGTGATTTTTCAGGGCCGACAACACTTCAAAACCCGTGTCGTCGGCCCTGTTTTTGTGCAGAAACTAGTGCAGCTCAAAAAAATGCAACATCTGTTGATGTGGGTTTTGATGATAGAATTGTATTCTAAATTTTTTCAAGATTTTCTGCTCTTTTGCCCGTATTTCAGTACAAAAAAAAACTCTTGCTTAAGCATATGGAATTAATCAGTAGATTTGGGCAAATGTATGATGCTATTTTTATTGAAAAGTGCGTTTATTTATCCTTAAGAAAAACAGGTAAACTTTCAAAATCTAGCTTGCTGATTACATCAACAAGAGTATTTAATTCAGCAAAAGTCTGGAATAAACATTTCTTAATTTTTAACAAGACGCAGTCATTGAAAAAAATGAATTTACAATGACAAATATCAAGATGCAGTTCGATTTCTTACCAAATTCCGCAACTTTTTTCTAAAAAATTAATTG